TGACGCAAATCGTATATGAGTAGCTTTTCACTCCCCCACTGGTCCCCAAATCTCCTTCGTCGCTGCTGGTTCCGCCGAGCCTCAAGTCTTCTTCATCGACGCTGGTCCTGCCCAGCCTCCCATTCCTTCCTCCACCGCCTTCGCTGGTCCCATCAAGCCCTCCTTCTCAGCCTGGCTCCACCTCTGGCTTTCCGGATACCAGCTCGGCTAAGGTGTAAGGATATCCTGGACTCCACCTCGGCCTGTCGACCCATCATCTCCAGCTTGGCTTCATGCTCCCTCGGATCCACCGTGGTCCGTCACCCCTCAGGCTCTGTCTTGCTCCCTCGTCCCTCTGGTTCCGCCTTGGCCAATCATTACCCTTGTTGCGAAACGGACTTCTGGGCCTCTGGCTACGCCTTGTCTCTCCACCCCTTTGACTCCAACAGGCTCCTCCTTCCCTCAGGCTCCACCATTGTCCTCACTCCCACCGGCTCTGCCCTGATCTACCGAGCCCCGTCTCCTTCTCGGTCCAGCAAGACTGCACATCCACCTTGGCCCTCCATTCTATCGTTGTCACCCTGGGTCTTCGTCCCCTTGGTTCCACCTGGGTCTCCACCTCTCCTGGCTACACTTCAGTCGGTCGGATTCCTGGCTCCACCCTGGCTTCTCCATCCATTGGTTGCACCATAGGATCCAATCCTAATGATTCTGCTCTGGGTGGCTCCCTGGCTCCTCCCTTCATCAGCTCCACCTTATGCCGAGTTCAGACTGCACGATTTTAGCCCCGATTTTGGCTCGCCGACAGGTTTTGAGAAATCGCCGACAAATGCCCGAAATCACAGGCAAATCGGTGCTCGTTCACGCGAGTGACAATCACGCAGTGTGAATGAGCAAAGACGCGATCTGAGAGAATCGCCGACAAGTCGCCGACCCCCGTGAGATATTTGGCATGCTAAATATCTGGACCTGTCGGCGATTCACAATCCTGCTGTGTGAATGTGTTCTGACCATAGATTGTAAAAAAAATAGGGTTCTCACTGAAAACTACATCGGCGATGACCGACAGCCAATGAGAGAGGAAGATATAGGGAGGAGGAGGAGGAGTTATAGACCAGAATATCAGTATTTTAATAGATAGGCCTATATTTACAATTATATCAAACAGAAACAAAGCACAAACATTTGCATGACCAGCAGCAACAGTAGGACATTTGCAAAATTATTTATTTACCCCCAACTCTCTTTGCAAAACACAGTCCTTCCCCTCGTCTTCCCAACCATTTCCTGCATAAACTGTTTATTCTATTTTTTTTCTTTCATTTTCGCTACAAATCAGTGCACAGACAATTTGTAGGCTATCATTTTTGATAACAAATTCAGTGTCGCGCGAGAACTCCGGTCTCACGCACGCGTGATCTTCCGTTATTTCCTTATCACTTCTCGCGTTTGTTTGGTTGTGAAACGTAGTTTGCGGACCAGGCAGAAGTTGTCGGCGATTCTTTCTTTTGTAAAGTCATGCAGTGTGAAACCTCCTGTCGCCGATCCATCGTGCAGTGTGAACACAGCAGCAACTGAATGTTACCCCAGATAGTCATGCAGTGTGAAAACAACAGTGACCCGATTATTTTGAAAATCGTGCAGTCTGAACTCGGCATTAGTGTCACCCTCTTATTGTGGCAAGGGGGGCGTGGTCTAGCGAAGTCTGTGACAGGAGAGAGGATCGGGAGACAGGAGCTGCGTAAGTGGGTCAAGTGCAAATGACAGACACCTGTGTCTTGTTTCAGTGATTGGCGTGGAGAGACCGCATATAAGTGACGGGGAAACATCATTCAACAGAGACAGCTGGGAGACCATGAGCGCACGTGAAGCGGCACGTAAAGAATTGTATCCAGTGAGAGAGAGAATCGAGAGTGCGGGAGCTCGAGCCGTGTTGAATGAATTAACCCTTTGTGAACTGAGTTGATGTTGTAGCGCTGTGTGTGCGCCTTTTCTTTGTTCTTTTATATTGTTTTGGAATAAAACCCACAGTCTCCCCCAAGCCGACCCTGTCCTCTTCCTTCCCTTCATACTGAACCGTACTACAGTTATGTTCAGTTTGTGGAATTATGTTGTGTTTCCTTTAGTTCCCATATTTCTTGCTGCAATTTAGATTCTCTGCTCCTCTTACCTTGCCTACACCATGACATATATTGTTTGGCATTTGCAAAAAAAAGAAAGAAGGAAATCTAATGTGGGGGTTGATTTCCGTATAAAAAACAAACTGCCATGCAGTGGAACACAACAAAATACATTTATTATTTTTAAAATGTGTCCTCTAAAGTCTTCATATGTTGTACAGTTTGTTTCTCTGGTAAAACCATCATGTTTTAAAAATGTATAATTGCACTGTAAAGCAAGACAAATAAATTGATAAATAATATGATTTTTGCAGCAGGTTGAGTGGACTGCTTCAGTATTTTTTTAAACATTTTTTCAGTGTGTGGAGTGTCTTGGTGTGTAAGATGGGGAGAAACAGTTGGGGCTGTGATGAGTGAGTTTCTTCACTAGATCCTGTGTGGTGCGTATATTCCCTCCTATATTGTAGTGTCTGTGGATTATTTTGTAGAGAATCCTGAGGTTGCATTAATATTTAATCAAAGGATTCAACAATAAAATCCATGAGGATCTCTCACTTTCTGACTCAGTCTTTCTCCATTTTTCTTTCTCCTTATTTATGCATACAGCCAGATAGTATAGATGCATACTGTATGTGTGTGTGTTGGGGGTAGGCATGCAGTAATTGCACAAGAAAACACACTCACATGCTACTTAGTGGAATTGCTTGTGCCGGGTCAGAGAGCGCATGTCTACTCTAAATGATGAGCAACATCTTTTGACATTCATTATGATCTTTATCTCACTGGAATTTACCTATATTATGTTTATTTTTTATTTATTTTTTATTAATGAGGACCCCACATTATACAGATTTAATTTTAAACCATTTGTGTTTACCCGCTTTGTTTTTGTTTTATTACACATTGATATTATAATAAATTCGAACTGAAACATTGAATAGAAAACCTAACTCAAAATCCTTATTTTCTTGGCATTTTGTATATAAAAATCTGGTATGGGGTTGGTTTCCGTATTTTAAAAATCTGCTATTGGAACAAGACAAAATACATTTTTAATACGTTGCACAGCACTCATAGCAAGCACGACTCAAGCTGCATGAATTCATACAAATTCTAATGATCATGTTGTCCAGCATGATTTTAGAATCTCTGAAAGAGTGTTTTGTGTGGAAGGAAATGAAGCAAGTGATAGAGAAATTGTTTGGAGCCCCTTAATTTTGTATTAATTTTACATCATAACATTTTAATCTTAAAACATTCTGTTTATTCATTTCTGTTTATCACTTATTTTTAAATGTGGCCTCAGGCGTTTGAATCCCACTGTAAAAAAATAAATAAATAATCTGTGTGCTCTCACTGTTCAAGAAACAGTCCCTTGGCCTTCCCAATAGTTCTGCTACTCTCAATCCGTCTGCCGTTTACTATTAACTAAAGAGAAATCAGAGAGTGACATCTTGTGGTCATCTTTGATCAAGTCGCCATAGAGATGGGAGCAAAATTGATAAACACAAATACATGGATAGAGAGCCTTCTCATTATCCTGTTCTCTCTCTCTCTCTCTCTCTCTCTCTCTCTCTCTCTCTCTCTCTCTCTCTCTCTCTCTCTCTCTCTCTCTCTCTCTCTCTCTCTCTCTCTCTCTCTCTCTCTCTCTCTCTCTCTCTCTCCATTTTTACTGCAGTGGAGTGGGTAAATTTCATTCCTTTAGACCCCCTTCTCCCTCCTCGCCTTTCCCTTGAGACCACAACGCACACAAAGAGCCCAGCAACCACTCTTATTAACTGACCTGAAGGGGGAGGGGTGTGTGTGTGTGTGTGTGTGTGTGTGTGTGTGTGTGTGTGTGTGTGTGTGTGAACCTCTGATCCTCTTTACTAGTATACCTACGGTTTGCATTGTGAAGCATTGAACTATCAACCACACATGCACAAAATGAAGCAACAGGCACTGTGTATGTGTGTGTATGTGTGTTTCTCTACACTGGGAGTGTTGATTTTGGGCATGAGAAAAGAGAGACTGAGAGGGAAAAAAGAAAGTAAAGTAAAGGAGGTGAACTTTTGGGGCCCTGCTTCCCCCCTAAAACAAGAGAGTAATAGAATCCATATGGACTCACTCTCTCTCTCTCTCTACATCTGTCCTATCTGTCTCTCTTTCTCTCATTGCATAAGATAATATTATTGAAATTGAGTGGGACATGTAAAGAAAGAGTAATTTATATTAAAAAAACAAAACAAAACAATGTGTATATGTCCAAACAATGGAGAAAGTGAGAGACCGGGAAAATCAGAGAGAGAATATGTGTGTGTCTGTATGTATGTGGGAGAGCAAGTCTCTTGTGTGAGTCATAAAGAAAGCGAGATGGAAAAATACAAGTAGCTAGAAAAGCGCGCGCGCACACACACACACACACACACACACCACTGTAGTTGCAGTTCTGCATTAAAACATGTGCTATGCTGTGCGTGGTTTATTTGCACATTAGCAAACTATTATCTACAATAACCTACAGTAATCACAGACTAGTAGATATTGATGACATGTATTGGGCATTTTATCCGAGCAAACATAATAAAAGCAAACAGCTTGCATTCCATTGAGTTTTGCTCTAATTGGCCAACTTGTCAGACCTGTACAGTAAGGAAAGGACCCTCCAATTACAGAAGCGTCTGTCCTTTCCCTCCACCCCTCCCTCGTTTCCACCCTTCCCTTCGTTGAAGTACTCCTCCCCCTCTCCTTCTCTCCTGCTCTCCTCTCCTCTCACAGCAGAGCGCGCGTGTGATTTGACAGTCGCATCTCTCCTTGTGTCCGCGAGCGCGCGTGTGTGTGTGTGTGTGTATGTTTACGATCGTCGTGCTCCACGTGCGGCGTGTGGATGCGCTCTTCGCGCGCTGTCCGGTAACAGAAACCATGACCGGCGCGCCGCGCGACCCCTTCTACTCCTCTCCGTTCGGTCCGTTTTACCGGAGACACGCGCCCTACCCGGTGCAGCCGGAGTACCGGATGCACGAGCTCAACAAACCGGCCTCCAGTCCCGGCCTGAGGTGAGTGATCACCAAACATAAACAATAGATGAGGACTTTGCATTTAGCAATTTTATATAACGTCTTCATAAAGTAGGCTATAAATCTTACAACCTCGAAACATTCATTTTAGATAAGCTAGATTATAGATCAATAGATTCATCGCGCAATCTAAGGAAACTTTTCTGTCCACTAAGAGGATTTTAAAGGTGAAAAAAAACATTTCCCTTCAAAATTACTTTTGTGATAAAATGATGAAAAGGTGTTCAAATCGGAATTTCTAATTAACCACTTTCCCGCAAAATGACTTAAAAAATCAATTCATGCATTCTATAATGTCATAACATTCTGTTCCAAATACTGCTGTCGTTTCCTAAACGATTTAGAGAACAATTTTCAAAATGTTAATAATTGGATATGATAGAAATAAGAAGTGAACAGTGAAGCACATCTCTGCCAGGATAGCAGTAGCTGAAGATCCGAATTTTATTCAATTTTCATGTTTTTTTTTGTCACGGTTATTTAAATGAATAGATAAATTAATTGACTAGGCTACTATTAATCTCTAAAAACTGAAATAGATTCACATACCAAAGTAAACTTAAAGGTTGCCAAAGCCATGATCAGATCTTTATTATCCACATGTTCCACAACACGCGCATCTTAAAATAGATGACACATAATATAAATAAGTTACATTTTTTAAAAATATTTCAAGGTCTCATAATGGAATACATTTCCTAAAAAATCTATTTATTCCTTTTGCGTCCCACTGTTATGTTACAAACTGAACTTATTCAACGACTTAATACCAAATGCACTATGGATTATGTGGTTTTTTTTTTTTTTTTTTTTTCAGGAACACGAACAGCAAGGTGATGTTCTGTGATGTTTGTGTGGCAGTGTGATTTATTATAGAACTCGCTATAAGACAGAGAACGGACAAACAGTACAATGAGACCAGTATTGCTGTACCATGTGTATGACACACTGTATTTAAAAAAGAACATTATTCTTCTCCTCACTAGGTCCCAATTTAAACAGCAGTGCAAGCTGTGCTGCTTCTCCTGATGCCGTCGGTGTATGTAAAAAAAAAAAAAAAAAATCCATTATAAATTGTACTTTTAGAATATTGCCTCTACTCAGAAAAAGGAATGCGAATAAATGGGGGAAAATAAAATGTATCAGCAGAGGTAAAATGCTGTTCAGCACACCTGGACATAATAATTTGATGCTTAGCGCTAAGAGAGACTGAACTATTGGAATAATGACCTATAGAAACACCCATTTCTCACAGTCTAGTAATTCTCTTTCAGACGTTTGTAACACACAAAGACTGAAGTGCAAGAGCTGTCACAATACAGTTTATTGTGGCTTTATGGGCTGGTATAAACATGTCCAATATAATCAAGTGAATATCAATAGCTGGCCAGTGATAGTTGGCTGGATTTGTGGTGTAAATTGCTGCCCTTAATGGGGTGAGTCAACTTGGGTGTGTGTTTATAATAAACAGTAAGCTTTGAAATGATCATCACTGTGCCAGGCCTAATTATGGTCATTTTGGGTCATTCAGGGGCCAAGTACTTCTGTGCCTCTCCTCTGTCTCACTCAGTGTTAAATGTGTGTTAATGTGTGATCCCACAGGACTGTGATATTCTGTGGTGGGATGCATTCTGCACTGAGTTCTTTGAAGAAGATGCCACGCTGACTCTCTCATTTTGCCTGGAGGAGGGACCCAAGACATACAGTAAGTGTGTGCAGAGCCATAACCGCCATAGACTGGGAACCCCCACCCTGAACACCACTACAATATTCATATCATAAATGGTAAATTTCAATGGTAGGTTCTTTAACTTTTACGTTTACCCTAAATATTGAACATTTGGTTGGGTCGGTGATGCTTGTTTTTTTGTCTCTTTTGTATTTATTAATTTATTACAAAATATATTAAAATGCAGTTCATACATTCAATGACTAATGTTTTTCATTTTTGATTTAAAATTAATTTTGAAGCACGAAATAAATAAAAAAATGACATACAACTGTCCTAATATCATAATAAAGAAAAAAAAAATTGTTCTTTAGCATATTCTTGTATTATTATTTCTTGGGAAAAGATTTGAACAAAACTGCTGACCTGCTTATTAATATTTGTGGTGCAAACTACAAAATCATAAGACCTCTGCAGACCCTCATGATTTTGTGTCAAGGTCAGTAAGTCAGGTATTTTGACATTTTTAGGACATGTAAGATTGCAAAATGTTTAAAAAAAAAAAACCCATTATGCTATTTATACAAAAATACATTTACCCTGTGAAATCTATTTAAAAATGTATATAAAAAAATGATTCAAATGTGTACATGTGTTATTACATTTTAGTTTACATTTTTAAATGTTTTAATTTTAAATTAATTAAATTGAAAACTTTTCTGGAAAATGGTATAAAAGACAAAACCACTATAAATACACTGAACTTGGCACATATGTTGGTTACACTTTATTTTAAGGAGTCCTTGTTACAGTGTAACTTTACATTTAAGTACTGATTAATATTAACTAATTACATGTACTTATTGCAGTGTAGGTTTATGTTTAAGTTTGGTTTAGGGTTAGTTGCATGTAATTATGCATAATTTCTAGTTATTATAGTAACTACATGTAACATATGTGTACACTCTAAAAAATGCTGGGTTGTTTTAACCCGAATTTGGGTCAAATATGGACAAACCCAAATGTTGGGTTAAAAATGTAATTTAAAATTGTAACCCAACTTCAACTTTCACTTTCAACTGTAAATTTTTTAATTACATTTTTAACCCAACATTTGGGTTTCTCCATATTTGACCCAAATTTGGGTTGAAACAACCCAGCATTTAACAAGGACGCTATGTTACCCATACGTTTTAAACTAGCTTTTTAAGGACATTGAGCCAGTCATGTTTTTGTCTGTAAATTTTGTAAACATCAAAATATTATGAAGTCATGGTGTACATACTAATTATTAATAATCAAATAAATGAGAATAAGATCTGTGAGCATATTTGTGTTTGAGCGTATTACTCATAAAACTGTTTATATATATATATTAAAATAATCTACAGGCTGCTACACTTTCTTTTTATCTCTCCTTCACTCTTATCTGCCTGTCTCTCGTTCTCTTTCCATGGTAGAGTTTGAATTTAGATTAATTTCAGCTTGTTCAGATTTAGACAGGGACACAGTTGTGCTGGATTTCACTTATTCTCATTCATTCCTTATTCACTGTGTATGTTGTGAGATTTGATTGACAGGTCTGGGGTGTATAATAAATATGGGCCTGCAGACTTCACACACTTCTACTGCAGTGATTGACAGCTCCAGAGCACTAACTGTTCTGTGCACTCGCACAGCCTGCTGGACTTAATGCCTGCGGCATTCAGTAGCCTGTTTGTTTCTAACTCTTAGGGGACCACACACAGAGACACACACACACATTTATGGTTTCCAGTTCAGGTGTTCGACCAGTGTGCCACCTAACTTCGAGTCTCTTTCATTATATGGGCATAAATAAATAAATGCTTGGGCACGGAGTCCATACCATTCTTTTCCTTCCGTTCTGTAGTCAGCGAATGCAACTGAAATTTCCCTCTCCACATATGTGTCTCTCACTCTCATTCCTTCTTCCCCAGCCATCGGGCGCACCCTGATCCCTCGTTACTTCAGTTCTCTGTTCGAAGGAGGAGTCTATGAGTTGTTTTTTGAGCTGAAACAAACAAAGGAGTCGTTCAACAACTCAACTATTACTGTCGACTCTCATCACTGTACAATGACAACACAACATGGCAAACCTACATTCACTAAGGTACTGCACGCACACGCACAAGTCTGGCTCAGTGAGTCTTTGCTTCCTCATTTTCAGCACTAATGTATTCCTCATTGTGAATTCTGGGCTGGAACTGCACAAAACAAAAAAGGAAAATATAACCCCCACTCTTTCCCTCTCTCCCTCCCCGCTCCTGCTCTTTCTCGGCTTCTTCCTCACTCTCTCTCACCCTCCCTCCCTCGTTCTGTCTCTATCAAAAAAGCTTTTCTTTTTTCCCCTATCCTATAGGTTTATGTTTTAAAATGATATGATCTTAATAGAAAAGTCTGCTAGTTACACTATTTTGAGACCTCTTATATATTACAACAATGTTCATAAAATGCTCTTGCCTCTATAATTTGTATCAGATGACATAAATACTTTGTTCCCAAAAGCTGTCATGTTAATAAGACCAGTGCAACGTGTGATTTCCTGAGTGTCTTATGCAATATTCATATGGTACGCCACTATAGGACGCAGAATCTATCAGTTGTCAATTAGAGAGAGAAGAGTTTTGTCCAACTTTGCTTTTTAGTAAATGAACATTTGTGAATTAAATATTGATTTGGAAGACTGTATGTTGTAGCTAAGTTATACAGATACAGTTACCAAGTGTGTGTGTGTGTGTGTGTGTGTGTGTGTGTGTGTACTGGAGGCATTGATCAGAGCTTGTCTGCTGGGATTACATCCCTCCCGTTGCTATGCCAACCTTGCAGCTACCCTCCGTTCCCCCGGCAACAGAATGTTGGGGTTCAGAGTTCCACACAGAATTCTGCTTGTGCTGAAAATACTGCTTTAATGAGAGAACCGTGTAATTTGATTTACTTTAAATTAATGAAAAACAAAAAGTCATTAGATGTAATTCTCTCGCATGTTTTTCTCCGGTCAAGTCGGTGTTATGATTTTGGAATTCACGCTAATTGTAACAATGACTGGAAGATTATGTCTTTGTGTGGTATCTGTCTTATTACATCCTGAAATTAAAAATAACTAAAAAAGTTATTTGAATGTTAAGCAAACCGAATGGTGTAAGGGGACAGTTGCACAACACAGACCTGATTCTCTTCCTGCTGTTTTTTCACAGGTCTGTACAGAAGGTCGTCTGATTCTTGTGTTCACTTTTGATGACCTCATGAGAATCAAAACATGGCACTTCACTATCACACACTACAGTGAGCTCATTCCCCGCAGTGTCTTGGCTGTTAATGTGAGTTCAATGAACTAATTAATCGTCCTAAATATTTCTTATACAAGATGACTTGGATGACCATCTACATTGGCCAAAATTTGCAGTTTTTAACAGAGCACACTATTCTACTTTATCCTATAATGCGATGTGCTAGACTTGACCTTTGATTTCCATTGCTGCAAATGAAGCAGAAGTAATACCAACAACAATTTTAACAGCTTGATTATTAAAATGAAAAAAAAAACTGAAATGGACTGCCAAGAGTCCAAAAACACATTTTTACACCAGACTTGTTTTCGAGATTATAAAGGGACGGCACTCTGATTGTTTATAAGAATTAAACATGCACATGCACTACAATGTAGCATACTAATATTTAAAATATTTATCGTTTCATAATGAATTCTGTCACATACACTACTGTTCAAAAGTTTGGGGTCGGTAAGATTTTTTTATGTTTTTTGGAAGAAGTCTCTTATGCTCACCAAGGTTACATTTATTTGATCACAGATACATTGAAAGCAGTAATATTTTAAAATATTATTACAATTTATAAAAATTGTTTTCTATTATAATACATTTAAAAATGCAATTTATACCTGTGATGGCAAAGCTGATTTTGTTCCATGCTTGTGACTTTTGATTTGATTAGACATCCAAACTTAAGGAAATATTTACTAAACTAGATTAAAAATGTAAATACATTTTTTTGTTTTCTGCGATAACTGGCCTCCTCTCGGTGATGTAAATGTGAGGTCATTTGGCAGCAAGCAACAATTTAAAATGTTCACATCCTATTTTTTTAAATAAAATGCAGTATACAGTTTTCACGGTAGTAACTCAAACTGCAACTCAAATAGTCAAGTCACCTTTATTTACATAGAGCTTTATACAATACTGATAGTTTCAAATCAGCTTTACAAGAAAATAGTAAACAGTCATTATTCAGTTGAAATCAGTTCAGTGTTGATTCATTTCAGTTCAATATCTGTGTAAAGTACATCAATTATGAAATGAGTTCAATTCAGCTATAAAGCAGCTCTGCAGAAAACCGTGATGTTGTCACGCAGTTAAGTTAAGTTCTTATCCTATAGAGTCAGTGTATTCAAATCAGTAATATTGCTGAATATTAAGTGGAGAAATAGTGGAGAAGCAGTAGCTCAAACAGTAGAGCATGATGCTAGCGACTACAATGTCATGGGTTTGATTCCCAGGGTATATGTTAATAATTCATTTTACATCTTGAGTGCAATGCATGTTGCTTTAGATAAAAGTGTCTTTGCTAAATGTAAAAGTCAAATACTTTTACGTTTTTACTTTTTAATTAGGTGCCCTTCTCTTTGCATTAGTAATTCATGTGGCTCATACTCTCAGTCATTCTTAACATGAGTAAAACACTGTTCTTACTATTTCTGACACTGTATGTTAAATATTATTCTCACAAGTCAGTGTCTCTTTACATGAGCCAAGTACCGCTTGTTTGAGTGCAGTGTTGTTGCGCAAGCTTTTAGCTAAATGTTTAAATGTAAATAACATTTTACATGTATAACATTCACAACACTACATCACTTTCATTCAATAATAATCAAAAATGAATTAGTTGTATTCTAGATAATCCAATTTCCTTTCATGTTATGTTCATCCTGCATTTGTCTAGCATGTTAGCAAACGTTGGCAGGTAGCAGTTTATGGTACAACAAAATGTATTCCAGCCCTTTTTTATCAATCAAGGTGAAAGCATCCAAACCTTTTAGCTAAGCTGTCAGGATGTTGCTATGGAAACATATCCTGTAATGAATTAGAGCTCTATCTGGATGGAGCACAAAATAAGAGAGAAAATAAATGGACTTGTATGTCCATGTGTGCATGTGTGTCTTTATCAGGCACAAGACCCTGGAGCTCTGGAACAACTGTCCAAAAACATCAGTCGAGTGGGACTTACCAACCTCACACTGAACTACCTCAGAGTATGTTACAATCACATATAAACACATTTAAATGCACTCACTCTCTTACGAATGGTCATTAAATTGTGTTAAACAACTGAGTGAAAAGATTATTTTGTTTGTGTGCAGTTGTGTGTGATTCTAGAGCCGATGCAGGAGCTCATGTCTAGGCATAAGACGTATGGACTGAGTCCCAGAGACTGTCTGAAGACCTGCCTCTTTCACCAGTGGCAGAGGATGACAACACCACCAGGTCACACACACACGCACGCACACACGCGTTGGGTTTCCATGTTTTATGGGGACTTTCTATAGAAATAACGATTTTTATACGGTACAAACAGTATATTATATCCCCTAACTCTAAACTTACCAATCATAGAAATCTTTCTGCCTTTTTACATTTTCCAAAAACATCCCTTAGTATGATTTATAAGCTGTTTTCCTCATGGGAACCAAAAAATGTCCCCACAAGGACAAGGATTTCAGATATTGCCATCTTTGTGTGGGACATTTTGTTCCCATATTGTAGGGTTTACCAGGACCACACACACGCACACACATGCACGCACGCACACACACACACACACACGCACACACACGCATCACGGTCTCACCAGTGTTATTTTAGTTATATTATTACTATTACTACTAATTTACTATTACAAAAAAAAATAAAAAATTATTTTATTTTAGTACATCAAGTTACACTAAATGAAAAATGAGAAATGTTGCCTTTTCAGTAACGTTTATTTTATTTCAAGTAACAAAAATTGTTCTTAGGATTTAGTTTTATCTATATCAACCCTGGCTCCAACATTCTTCATTAGTTCTCGTTTCATGGCTCCTCTTAGCTTTCTTTCTCTTTTAAATATAGTCTGTCATGAAAGATTAATACAGTAACACCAGCATTGTTTAGCTACTCTTTCCCCACCAGCGTTTAATTTCTTTTTGTTGTTCTCCTTTTTAAGAGCTACAGAATGTCATTAAATTTACAGTAGTTTGTTTCATACATTGTAAACATATTTCATATTCCTTATTAACATTTCAAAGTACTGAGCACAGGCTGTTAAGGGTTTTGTGATCTGCAGTAATTAATGAAGACTTTGACCTTGCGTTGTTATTTATGTATTATTTTACTGCTCTTTTAGAAAAATAACTACCTCCTGCTGTTCTTTGACAATAATTCCTTCACTTTGCCTGAACAATAATCTTAATGTTATTTTCAGGCAACTCTGTCTCTTTTTATGTTCCTCAATTTTTCTTCTTTAATGTTTTGCATCCTCGTTATTATTTACTGAAATTATATGTTAATGTTTGTTTCTGAATAATGGTATTCATTTCTTTCATTTCAGTTGGACCCTCACCAAACTTCAAGACAGAAATATTTCCCACTAATTCCAAAAAATGTATGTATGTCTGTTATCACCTTAAACATTCTAGTTAGGGTGTGTTCTAAACTAATAACTCTAAATATTAAATATACATTTTTCTGTACATATATATAAAACATTTTATTTTTTACTACTCTTCAAAAATGTCTTATTGATACTGCTAGAATGTTCTACATTAAAAATGGTGCCAACAGAAATTATGTATTATTTACATACTATATTGTGCAAGCACTGGCATTTCCAACCTTTTGCTTATTCCTTCACCACCACTCTTGTCGATTTCATTTGCAGTACTGATTAGTGTTTTAAAGCAGAGATACAGTATGCTGTGTATTCACACTTTACTAACCACTCATTTTTAATCAGGTTCACTCTGTTTTCAGAACTTTTTACAAAATTCATGGAAAGCAATGTTGATTCCATTTGCATTATGCTGCTTTTATGTTTTGATTGACAGCAGAGCCAGCCAAACCAGCAGCAAAGAGAAGGAGGAGGAGGAACTCAGCTGGTAGCGCATCTAATAACAGCACAGGAAACAGCAAGAAGCGCAGCCCAGCCAATAACTTCAGCCTACCCTCACAGGTACATCACATACACACATATGCTAACTCGAAGCCTAGGTTCGGAATGTATATAGCATACTACCATACTACCCTTACAATTGTTGCAGTATATAGTATTTATATTGTGGACAGTATGCTAATTTTCTATATAAATATATAAAATGTTCATATATATTGATGCAATTAATTGTGTGTGTGTGTGTGTGTGTATATATATATATATATATTGGTGTTGTCAAATCCAACAAAAGTTTGTGTTTATATAATTTATATGTGTGTGTGAGTGTGTGTATATATATTAGAATTATATGTGTGCAGGGGCGGACTGGCCATCTGTGTGATCTGGAGTATCACAGAACGGCCGGTACTCCAGGACGGCCGGCGGGCCGGCCCACCACCCGCCACACACGCAGTCATCACCTGTTTTTTCCCCCCACTAATCTGTTTCACACTCCAGTACTGTAGGTGGCAGCAATGCACCTTTAAGTTGAATGCCAGCGCGGAGCATTATCAGCTCGGCCCAAAACAACTGCGATCGCGGCCGAAGCAGCTGTGCGGACTGATCTCGATCACGCGAACATTATTACACAGAGTTGCGCGATCCACTGAGAAGCATTTCAATTCAGTGCAGAATTCTCTATCTCTATTATAAACCCACAGATGGCTGTGATTTAAGCTAGTTAAAAGCCAGATTAAACAGCGCTGATATTCTCAACATCTTGACGCAAAAAAACAGGTGAAACATTGTTCCAAGAACAAACCAGTTAGAAGACATTTCACTCCACAACTTATGAATTAACTGTAACTTAGTAAAACAAATTTTTTGGCAGAAATGTGCCTGTATACATATTAAAAATGCTGTTATATTAATAGTCATGTAGGCCTATAAATGTAGGCTATTAAATGTAATGCAGTAATGTTTTTATTTAGAAGTTATGGCAGTTTATTTATTTATTTTGCATTAAATATTTATACTAAATGTTTATGCTACAATAGGTTTTTAGAGAATAATATATATATATATTACAATTTTTTCAGGAATTGTTGAACCAGAATATCAAGATATTTTATTATTTCGCATATGATGGTGAAAAGTAAAAAAGTTAAAGTTAAAAGTAAAGGTAAAGGTAAGGTAAAAAAACACCACCATGTTATATGTATAATAAATATTCTTGAGTATAGCCCTTCTAGATTATTTTATCCCTTTAGCCCTCGCACACAAAAAGGTTGGAGACCCCTGGTATATATTAACTATATGTTTTATAATTACAAGTTTGTGTAATTAGGGTTTCTGTAGCCAGTGACATTTCATTATTTGTATTTTATTTTCAATTCAGATGTAATGGCATTGTACATTTTGTTGTTTTTTATTTGAAGACTGAGGCTTCATTAATAAACAAAACCCCAATTTTCATCATTGTTTTTGAGATATTACTTGCTGTGAATACCTTGTCTGATATAGGTTACAGTTAGAGGTGGGCGATATATCGTTTAGACGATAATATCCAAATTGTTGTCTGGACGATATGCAAAATTGGGATATCGAATATTTCATAATTTTTACAATCCGACCCCCCCCCCCCCCCCCCCCCCCCCCCCCCAAACATGAAAAGAGCTGAAGGAAGTTAAAGACAAAACAACCTTCTAAACTATTATATGTTGCGATTTTAATACTGTATGGGTTTGTTTGACTCTATTTTATGTGTTTTTACAAAATTACGATCGTTCCTCAATTGCACGAGAGTAAGCTGCTACTAATTTGCTACTAACTAAGTTCTTACCTGTGTGTTATGACGTTTCTAGGTTGAAGCAACAATCCAAAAACGTAAAGAATAAAGCCGATGTACGATTAATAAAATAGCTGATAGAAAAGGCAAAATATGCGGTGTTTGCAGAAAACTGAAGTCTGAAGTAAAAAAGTTTTTAAAAATTGCGTTGTATAATGATGAGTCCAAAAGATGGAATACATTTTCCCAAGAGATCCACCAGCCTCCGAACAGGGCTTCTTTTAACTTCTAGTAAATAGGTAGTCACATTGTTGTTAGTCTAATAGAAGTACTGTTTGCAAATAGGGGTGTAACGGTACGCGTATTCGTATTGAACCGTTCGGTACGAGGCTTTCGGTTCGGTACGCATACAAACCGAACGATTCGTTGGACCATTTTTCCTGCCGACCAAAATCCGCGTTTGCGCGACCACCATGACGTTGCACAACATCAAATGGCAAACGTAATAAAAGCGGAACGAAACTGTGCTATTATTTTGTGCTTCACGGACCGTTTCAGTTCGGACCATGTCAGTGCAGCGCGCGCCGAACAGGGGCGCTGAATCGTGATGAAGCGACACTGTTATACACAGCGCTAAGAGATCCAGAGAAAACATTAGAATTCGCCACTGAAGTAACGTTACTAATAACATCACTGCGAGATCAAGTGAGAAGCATGCACATTTCTCTGTTATTAACGGATCAAACGTGGAAACCAGGAGAAACATTTTGCCATAAATGAACTAGTTATAGGTAAATTTACGTTCACAGATCAGCAACATTCACCATGGATTTAATATAGTAACACTAACTGTAACCATGGAAGTTTGGCAGAAATAGTCAAATGCTTTCAGGTAGGCCTACATCACACATCTTTTTCCAGCACTTCAAAACTCTAATATTATCATATTTAAAAGTTATTTTTAATGTGATGATGACCAAAACATTATTTGTTCATCCTTCAAATATGACCCCCATTTATAAAACTAAAGGTTTCAAGATGTAAAAAAAACCTCACACTTATTTAAAAATATTTTTTCTTTTAATAAATAGGAAAGTTATCTGTTATTTCTTTCTTTTTGCTGTATCGAAAACGTACATCACTGTATCGTATCGAACCGAACCGTGAATTTTGTGAACTGCCTATTTGCAAAGCACAAAGTAAATTTAATACGTACATATATTGTACTGAAAAAGCACTGTTCTTGTATTACAATAAATATTTAGTACAGTAATTTGGTTCATGCTTAAATCAATTGTCTCATATCTTTATGTACTAGTAATCAGTGTTGTGCTAGTTACTAAGAAATAGTAACTAGTTACAGTTACTAGTTACTTCATTCAAAAAGTAACTCAATTACTTTGTTGATTACTTGCACCAAAAAGTAATGCGTTACTGTGAAAAGTAACTTTTTAGTTACTTTTTTAAAGAAAGTTCTTTAATGTTCCCATTAATGCCCTTTTATGCGTTATGGTCTATACAAACACAAAACTGACTTAAACAGAAAGTAATTTTTAAACACTATTTTATTTAAGTCAGACCAGCACAAACTGAATATATCACAAGGATTTCTGAAATAAATAACAAAACAAGCATGTGTAAAGCTAGTGATGTGTTTGCTTTCTCAACATTGATATGTTCATGCAGCTGACAGTAATACGTTTTTACTGCATGAATGAATATTTGAGCAATACAATTGTACCTTGATCATTCTTGTTAGTTCATAGTAGGCTAATTAACTAAGGTAATAACAGATACAATAACAATTTAAACTCAATTTCAAATGTATTAAGTAAATGTTGAAATTAAAAAACTAACAATGAATGATACTTCTACAACATTTATTAACCATATTTAATGCTAAAATTGTAATCTCATTGTAAAGTGTTACCATTTTATATGATTCAAGCTTATAGAAGATGGCCATATTTAAATATCTGCAAAGGCCAGAGCATTAAAATTACATAAATGTAGACCTATATATTACATGTATAGTCTTTCACTTTATTTGCTTAAATTTTAGAACACTTGATTAGGAAACTTGATGTCGCTGCATGAACATATCAATGTAAGCAATCACGTCAGCTTTAAAAATACAACTTCGCCGGCTAATGAATGCATAACAGTGACCAGCTGGATATAAACTAATGCAAATAGATGGTAACAATTGCGACATAAAACATCTGGGTCAGGTCTGCGTGTGTTTTGGTCACATTGCTTTAATCGCTTGAGGTAAGTTAGCCGTTACTAATGTTATTCCTCTCAGACTCGACGGCAAGCTTCTGTTCTTTCTCTGTTGATGCAGCATCTAGACAAAATATTACTTTATAATGATATGGCAATGTGTACTTTAGTGTTCTGTATTCATACCGTTTCGCTGTCTGTGTTTTAAATGCGCATCTGAAGTGCTCAGCGCTCTCCGTGCAGCTTGTAATCTCCGTGCTCGCGCTGCCTCACGTGTTAACGTAAACAACTCAGCCAGTGAGTTTATGTGTCCTCTCGCTCTGTATAATGCTAGCAGTCTCTTCAGTGATCTCGTACTGTGTAACAGCGCACACTTCTCAGCCGCTCCAGCAACTAATTAATTTAAAAAAGTAACGGACAACGCACCATATGGTAACGATAACGGAGTTACTTTATTTAAAAAGTAATGCGTTACAGTATTAGTTACTGTCAAAAGTAACTGCGTTACAGTAACGCGTTACTAGTAACGCGTTACTGCCCAACACTGCTAGTAATTCTATACAATGATAGGTAAAATGGAGCAAGTCAAAAGACCAACTGGACCTTCTTTGCCAGTTTGCACACATTTCTTTGAAGGATTGCAAAAATATCGTCTGAATATCGATATCGAGATATTGGAAAAAAATATCGAGATATTAATTTTTGTCAATATCTCCCACCCCTAGTTACAGTATTGTGGCATAGTATCAGGACATCCTAGTGGCTAGGGGCGAATGGCTGGATGATGGGCCTATTTGGGAGAAACTCCAGGGCTGTTTTTTAGCCCCAGTCCGTCCCTGTATGTGTGTGTGTGTGTGTGTGTGTGTGTGTGTGTGTGTGCATGTCTGTGTATATATACATATACACACATATATATGTATGAATATATGTGTATATACAGTATATACACACACAGAATATATATATATATATACACACACATATTATTTAAACAAACTTTTATGTTAGATGCGCGAGTAATCGATTTCACAGCACTAATATATATATATATATATAGTGCTGTCAAATCGATTAATCGCGCATCTAAAATAAAAGTTTGTTTATATAATATATGTGTAAATATGCATATATATATGTGTGTGTGTGTGTGTGTGTGTGTGTGTGTATATATACACTAACACATATATTATATATTTACAAACTTTTATGTTAGATGAATACTTTGAAATAAACTAATTTCTAATTTTTAAATCCAATACTTGGAGCAACTTTAATTGAATTACACATTAAGAGGTTACGTGACAAATGTAGTGTCTGTTTGAAACATTTATTACTCCTCTCGCTTCACTTACTATTTTTAAAATTCAGCATATAATGAACAGCATCAGTACGTATTAAGCAAGTATTCTATTCTGAACAGTCAAATGCACACTTGCAGAGAAGCAGTGGTCCGCACTGAATGGATCATATAGGAGAGATATACTAAAATGTATATGGATATATATAATATGGATATATATAAAAATATATGGAGTGTCTGGATGTCTGTACGTGTGTGTGTGTGTGTGTGTGTGTGTGTGTGTGTGTGTGTGTGTGTGTGTGTGTGTGTGTGTGTGTGTGTGTGTGTGTGTGTGTGTGTGTGTGTGTGTGTGTGTGTAAAGAAATAACATAAAGAATAAGCCGTATAGAAAGGGAAGGACAGAGAGAGAGCAGCTTAATAATTTAACCCATCTTATTTTTTTTTCTTCCATATTGTAATATGCAATGTATTATTTATTCCAACATTTATATTACAAATCAATACCTGAATTATATTGTTTGTATTGTTTATAAATAAGTTTAACAATCAGTTTCCAGTGTGCTTGTAATTTGTAATGTTAGAGTAATTTTTGGAATATATAGTCATTTGTCTATTCTGATTCATTTGTTTGTAATTGAGACTAATTAGCCGGAAATTGATTTGATGATAATTAGTATTGTCCGTCTCTGGTCCCCAGCCTAAACGTGTCGCCGGGGAAACGAGGGGTGGCGGGTGGCTGGAGGCGGAGCTTAGGTAGGTGAGTGACACATGCAGACAGTTATCACGCAGCATGTGCTGTCTTAACGAGCTACTTAGCAATGCAAATTTGCTTAATTAGCACATATGTTGTTATTTAGGTGTTCTCTATCTGAAAAAAAAAATCTAATTAAAGACCAAAGAGCTAGTGTCTGGAGACGAGATTGTGTGCATATATGTGTGTGTATGTGTATGACTGCGTATTTAAGAAAGCGTGTGTACGCCACATTCTTCGATGTATGTATAAAGTACATATATACATTATCATACACATTTCTTTTCTTTTTTTTGTAGTTGTGCACATTTTTACTGTATGCTTGCATTAGCCCTATTGCAAGAATAACAGCCATAAATGATTCTGCTTCTCTCTCTTTCTACACCCCCGCCATTCTCTCTCTCCCCCTCTCTCTCTCTCGACCCCCTGCGTCTCTGTTTACGTCAACTCTCTCTCTCTCTCTCTCTCTCTCTCGCTGTAGGATGTGATGTTGGTAGGGGAGCCCTCTCTAATGGGAGGGGAGTTGGGTGACGTGGACGAGCGTTTGATCACACGCCTAGAGAATGAACAATTCGACCCTGTCAACGGTCTCCATGATGACGGTCTCCATGACTTCGCCAACTCACCGACACTTGGAAACGGCAGCTCCTGGAATGGCCAGCACCCTAGCAACCAGGACAGTAAGCCTGATACCATGGCAACGCAGCAGTTGGAGTAATGTGATCTGACAGTGGGTAGCTATGGCAACGGTGCTGTCAAGGGATGGGGGTATTTTCAACTGTAAAGGAGACATTGCTGGAGAGAAGGTGTGTGTGTGTGTATGTGTGTGTGTGTGTGTGTGTGTGTGTGTGTGTGTGTGTGTGTGTGTGTGAGTGTGTTTGCATGCTTGCGTTTATGTTACAGTATTCCACACTTGAGACATACAGCTTCAACCATTTAGTTTATGTATTCAAAACAAAAACAAAACACTGCAAGCCTTGTTAATATACAGATATTAATCAATTTCATATCAACATTTTTCAACCCTTTTTTTTAAAGCTCAGTGGATGTGTTGGCTTCATTCTGTACCACAATGGTTTGGTTTCTCTTCAACAACTTGATGAAAAAAGTCCCATTGTGAACGCTATTTTTCAGCCTAAACGCAGATATCTTTATTGCTCTAAAGTTTAATGCATATTGTAAAAAACATTCATATTTGTGCTGTAGTTGTGTATTTTATGTATGGTTTTCAATAATTTGCATTAATAAAATGTGTTTGGTTATAATATCAGATTCTGTGTGTTTGGTTATTGATATTAATGTAAAAAAAAAAGAAAGAAGAGATTTTCATTGTTATAATCCAAAAAGTTACAAAGAAAGTAATCTTAAATAATAGAGAATAGTGATGCTACGAAGTAATCTCTAAATCTATTGCGCCCTCTAGTGGTTAAAGAAATGTGGTACATGTACAGCCGTTAAGTTCACCCAAAAATAATATTCTGTCATTAATTACTCTCACCCTCATGTCGTTACAAAGACTTTTGTTTATTTTCGGAACACACAAATTGAGATATTTTTTTTTATTAAATCAGCTGTTCAGCCATCGACAGGTCATAAAGAGATAGTAAAACTATATGAATTGAGCGGTTTAGTCCACATTTTCTGAAGTGACTCTTTATATGATTAACATATTGAATTTAGGCTTTTATTCACATATAAACATCGATGTGCTGTCTTAATGAGCTACTTAGCAATGCAAATTTGCTTTAACATTTGTGATATTATATTATATTGACAATGACATATGGATTCTGCTCTTGCTATTTCGTTCAGCTGAGCTCGAGGGAAAAGGGAGAGTGTGCACGAGCATTCTGTTCATTTTTTGTGTTTTTCACATAATCCGAGTCGAATTGAACCTCTGAACACATACTAATCCAAATGATAGACTTAGAGCCTAAGAACTGTTATCAATTATTTAAGAAGAATAAAGTCATTAAACATGGTTTAGACTAGAGGATTTGCTTGTGTGTATGAATTTGTCCAGCTGCATTATGGGAATTGTAGTTATGTGTAGTGACGTATGCCGTGACGCCTGAATGTTGTGTCTGTGAGGAAGATGGCGGACTCAGTAGCGGCGGGGCTTGGAGACGAAAATGAGACTGAAAATGAGGACAAGGAGAAGGAGAAACGACTCTTCAGCGGCGTCAAAAAGACAGAGAAGCAAGCCGCTGCGTCAGACGTTACAGAAACTCTGGGGTTTTACGAGAGGAAGGCGAAATGCAAAGAGAGAAAGAGCAATGTGTCAGGTAAGAGTGACAGACAGCGGGTCTGTGCGCTAAACACACATTTGTTTTCAACCTAGTGAGCTGTCTACATACTAGACTGTATGTGTAGGCATCATAACCTCGTCACAAATATCTAGATAAGCAATGTTTGATTTAAACGTTACAACGCGCCAAAATACTGTGTAGGTAGGAAGCTAGGCATTTTTTGAACCTACCACACACAACAGCCACAATGCATTGCATTTAACGTTATCTAACGTTACTGTCTGCAGCATTATCAGTCACCAAAGTTTTTTTTTACCTTTAACAAGATCAGATAGTTCGACATCCATTAGTTTATTTAAGGTACCGCAATTACCAGTGTGGTTCATGTGACACATTCAGCCGCTTGCATAATGGGACTAACTTAACTTTAGAAGCACAAGGATCAAGAAAGCTGATCAGGTGTGAAGATGTAAAGACCTGATGTTATAGATCTGTTTACACGAGGTTGCTTAGGAACAGTAACTCTTAATATTAACATTGTGCAATGCAGCAATTAACGTTAGTGGTAACATGCATAATCAAAATTACAACATAACGTTGATTCATCATTCATATTCATACTTGAATGCACATGAATCTCTGATATGTTAATAGGTTTATTAATTGAAGTTATTATGAAGCAAGATTTCTGCAGGAAATTTAAAAGTCTCACTTTATGTTAGGTACAATGTATTGTTTTCATGTTGTATTGCAGAACACTTTTGCTGCTATTGAGGTGGGATACGGGTAAGGTAAGGGACAGGTTTGGTGGTATGGTAAGGTTTTGGTGGGTTAAGGTGTAAGGGAAGGGTCAACAGTGTAATAGATGTAACTACAGAAATAAGTACAAATACAATACAAATACATGCAGGTATTTTGCAGGTATAAACCCTGAGTTGGAACAGAACGCAGGAAGCCAAAGTTAATCCAAACAAACCCATCAACCTTTTAAATGGATGGAATATATGAAACCGAGGGCATCTTTTCTGTGCTTTTCTTTAAGAAAGCTTTTAGATGTTGTGTCATGAGCTCAGATAGCAAAATGGATGAGGTGTTTGTTGGATGATAAATTTACTCATTTTATCATGTAACTTAGTTATAAGACACTTACACACAGATGAGAATCTGGTATCTCTCTGGCTCTCTCTCGATCTTTCTCTCCACTCTGTTTGTTTTCCCATTCACTGTGTTCATCCTCAAGTTTATCCTTCTCTATTACCGTTAAAAATAGAAAGTACTATGTGTGTTGGCAACAGAACACATTTGCAATGTGTGCTGTTCAACTCAGGACGCTTTCTTGCCCTTATCACAACACGTTTGGCCTTAGGTCAACATAAACATGCACTAAAAACAGTCCAGGACTTTCTGTTCCACTTAAATTGAACTTTTATGTCACTGATCTGCTCTGCTGTAGATCACGTGTGTGTTAACAGAGAATCACCATCACACAGCAACTGTGTCAACAATGTTCCTGATCAAATCACTAAACCTTTACTGCTGCTGTGATATGAAAACATAATACAAAGAAAAGTTGCTTATTGTGGCTTTGTTTGAAGACGGCTTAAATTTACTATTTAAGTCTGTGTATGATTCCGGATGAATTGAGAATCACATTTTTCTCTATTTTTGTTTAAAATAGAGATCATGATTCTCCCCTTATTCTGAATAGACAGCTTAACAAAATAACATGTAATTTACTAGACGTTCTGACAAAATGTGATTTGGAGCATTCTATAAAAAAAATATAAAAAAAATAATTTTAAAAAAGTTTGAATGAATGATTCACTGACTCGCTTAAGACTTCACTTGTTTTATTACTGGATGAATCAGCGTTTTTGAACAAATCTCTTAAATGAATGATTCAATGACAAGTACATTTGTTAACAGTCACTTGTCACCACCTACTGGTGTAACAATGTAATCGATACAATCTTGTAAAGTTAAGTTACTTTCAAAAGGTGATTTACTCTTTTTTTTTTTTTTTTTTTTTTCGCTACCATAGACATCAGTGTTTATATCCGGACTATCAACTTTTATCCGAGTACTTCTGTGACAATTTGAATATTTAAAGGCACACTGGAACTTTTCAACCTTTATAATATATTACCAAACCCCATTGAGATGGTACATCGACTTAAAATAGGTTGAATGACACGTCTGCCGAAGCCTGAAGGTGTCTGTATCGCTTTTACTAGCACTATGTAACTTCGGGTTTCGGGTAGGAACCCGAGCACAAAAAGAACTACAAAATTCGACCGCTTTACGGCATACGTCACTTCCCCCACCACCCCAACTTCCTCAAATTCTAGCGTGAGAGCTCAACTCGCGTTTGATTGCTGGCGTCTGTATGTTGTCGTCGTGGCTGAATCAACAGCTACTCGGAAGAAAGCAAAGATTTTGTCAGAGGAGACCAAAAAAAGAAAAAGGGAGAGTGATAAACTAAAAGCAAGGACGAGAATAAACATTGGTCAAGCGTTCCCTCGCTGGCGTGCGATAAAGGAGGATGAGGGATTCCCGACCGATGCTGACCTGGCCGTCATGCTTTTGGACTAGTAAGTTAAATATATTGCTTGCACAATATCTCTATTTTTTCAAATTTGTTCTCTGCCTGGCCATGTTACTGATTCTATATTGTCCTCCATTTAATTTAATGTAACAAGGAATACTAGTAGAGTAAGTTAGCGAATTATCAATCTGGTAGCTAAATGTTAGTACAAATATAAATTTTATAAATATTGGGAAAGGTTTGCATTCAGCAGACATTTTATCCTCCGATTTTGAAACAAAACAGGGCTGCAACTTAACAACTAGCTACAGGCTTTGTTTAATTTGTATGCAATTCATCTGGTAGCAGACACGGGAGGTTGACCGGTTGACTGTTTGTTGACTTTTGCGACAATGCTGCGGCGCTTGTGGCCTCTAGGGGCACTAGACGTGAAAATTACAGGTCAAGCGCACCCTAGTGGCCAGAAATTCCACAGTGTGCCTTTAACACAGAAATAATTATACTGTATGGTTAAAAAGACAGTGAAGCTGTTTCATACCTACACTTGACCACTGCTCTCTCTAGATCAACAGCAGTGACAACGCAGAGCTGAATGTCTGCTGTGATCGTACTCGTCAAAGGTTTAATAGACATGGCTGAATCGTTGTCATTTAGGGATAAGACTGCATGGGTGTTTTAATCGAGATCACGATCTTTTAACGATTTAATCGTGCAGCTCCACATATGGAAAATCTAGGATTTAAATTTTAAGAGTTTTTAAAAATGTAAAACAAAGAATCATTATGCACAAAAATGAATACGCTGCATAATACTCGAAGGGCTAATTGGTTATTTTTTGCATCCGACTTTTTGTTTTGTTTTGTTGTTTTAACCTTTCAGCATTATTACAGGTTGTTAAAAACAATTGTCATTAAAAACACTGAATTATTTTGCTGTTGCAATGCAAACAACATCAGTGCTATATAAGACCCACAATCCACAACTCACAAAGTTTTAAAGAAATAATGTATTTGCAAATAAAATTGTAAAATAAATTATGACATTCATTTTAATTAGTAAATGATCTAAAATCCTAAATTGGTAAACAAAATCCTATATCGGAAAACTAAATTCTAAAATCATAACGGCATTTTCACGAGTGGACTATTTTTTTGTAATGGTAGATATTTGAGAGAGATGGAGAGAGGTTTATGCTGGCGCACTTGTTTATGCATCCTCCTTTCACACACACAGGAACATTTTGAGCTTCCATCCTCTACTACACTCTACTGTATAGTGCTAAATGAGTAAAATGGTTTCATTGTGCTGGATGCATGTGACTACACATTCATGTGTGTGTTTATTTGTATGTCTGTGTGCAGATCTCTCTCTGGTGAGGTTTATTAGTGCTGAGTTGACTAGAGGATATTTTCTGGAACACAATGAGGCCAAATACACCGAGCGGAGAGAGAAGGTTTACACCTGCCTGCGTATTCCAAAAGAACTGGAGAAGGTACCAAACACGGCACAAAATTACACAATCCATACTCAATGAAATAACTATTCAGTACAATATCATTCATCACACTGTGCGTTGTTTTATTTATCTGCCAAACAAAGGAATTAAAGCCATAATGATATATATAATGATATAATATTATTAATGTTAAAATATGTTCCTAACACTCCCCTCATCTGAAAACAGATGTGTCCCAAACTCACTCCCTTGGTGGTTGTTGTGTCATGTTCATGGCTTCCCAGTGTAAACATGTACGGGTTTTTTTTATGGGTAGAAAACAAATAAATGGCTTAATTAAATTAAAAATGTATTATTACATTTATTATTTACTCTCGTCTTATTTATAAAAATAGTTAATTATAAATGTAATGTATTTTTTAAATTGTTTATTAAAACATAATAATGTATTATTTTATTCATTTTATAAATATATTTTTATTATAAAAAAGAATGTATTTTCTAAATTTATACATAAATATAAAAATAAATGGTAATACTTTACAATAGGGTTTCATTGGTTAACATTAGTTAACTACATTAGTTAACATGAACTAATAATGAACTGCACTTCTACAGCATTTATTAATCTTATAAATTGTATTTGTTAATGCACTGTGAAGTAACATGAACAAACAATCAACAGCTGTATTTTTTATTAACTAACATTTACTAAGTTTAACAAATGTATTGTTCATGGTTAGTTAAAGTTAACAAATTAAACCTTATTGTAAAGTGTTACCAAATAAATATTTTAAACATTCAAGAAATAGTTTTTTCAAATTGAAGGAACGGATCAGTCATGTGACATTTTTGTCAAACCTGACATGAAGCATCTAAAGGTCTGTTCTTTACACAAAGCTATCAAATAGCTACAAGAATATTTGCAATAAGCGCACAAGTTTTATCTACGACTTTTATGAAATTAATGGTGCGTTTTTGACATTTTGGAGTTTGACAGACTGAGCCTTTGAACTAAGTGATACCACATCCAGGACTATCACTGATCTCTCTCTCTCTCTCTCTCTCTCTCTCTCTCTCTCTCTCTCTCTCTCTCTCTCTCTCTCTCTCTCTCTCTCTCTCTCTCTCTCTCTCTCTCTGTAGCTGATGATCTTTGGGTTTTTCCTGTGTCTGGATGTGTTTCTGTACGTGTTCACCCTGCTGCCCCTCAGAGTGCTTCTGGCTCTGATCAGACTGCTGACACTGCCCTGCTGTGGCCTCAGGTAATACACACACTGTACTCAGGATATGCTCTGAGCAATGTTCCCAAAAGTAGGACTGTAATATGATTCTGATAAACCAACAGGTTGAAACATCTGAGCTCTCTACTTTTTTCTTTCACAGTGTTATTACAGACACACACACCTACACACACTTAAACCCAAAATGATTGTGCATGTATTCTTCTGCCTGCAGAGCTAGTATATGTCCCTACTGCAAAAAGAGCAGGTATTCAGAAAAAAATGACTGCAGCTGCTTTAAGCACACACACCCGTGCTGGTATGATTGCAGCGGCTGTGTTCAAACACTGATTCATACACACACTCTCTTTCTCACACTCGCTTCCGTTGCCATAGCTGTCTAATTTTGCACTGTTGTGCTTTGATTTCACACTGGAATACTAAAATCATCTGGGATCATTCTCAGAATGGCCATGTTGTTCTTTCTGTCGTTAGGGTGTACTTGCATGATCAGTCACAGGATGGCAGTGTGATCGCAGTAAACAAGCAAACTGATAAAGGAGAAACAAAGGATTAATGCAATATATTAATGTAATATGTTATTATTAGGTTTGTAAAATGCATCTGATAATGGAAATTCAGTAAGTTGCATTCAGTGCATGTATTACGTACAATTAATTTCTTAAAATATATTTGTCCGAAGCCAATTATGTGTAAAGGAATGCAGATTCTATTTACAGTAAATGTAAATAGTTGTACATACTGTTAGCACCCCAGTGTAAATTCTAACAATGTGCGTTTTGTCTAGTAACAAACTTTTATAATAGTATATCAATATGCATTGCCGTTTGAGGTTTTGGGGATTTTTTTTAATGTCATTGAAAGATGTCTCTTATGTTCACCAACGATGCATTTATTTGATCAAAAATACAGTTATTTAAAATAACAGTTTTCTATTTGAATATATTTTAAAATGTCATTTTTCCTGTGATTGCAAAGCTGTATTTTCAGCAGGCATTACTCTTGGTCTTACTTACTTCAGTGTCACGTGATCCTTCGGAAATCTTGCTGATTTGGTGCTCAAGATTTTTTTTTTTATTATTGTCAGTGTTGTATTTATTCATAGTTTCATACTTTTGTGGAAACCATGACAATAGAAAGTTTAAAAGAACAGCATTTAAAATAGAAACCTTTTGTAACATTATTAATTAATTTACTGTCCTTTTTGATCAGTTTAAAGTGTCCTGGTTGAATAAAAGAATTCATTTGTTTGAAAACCAAAACTCTTACTAACCCCAAACATTTGAACGGTAGTCTATGTACTATTATAATGCTGTAATATTAACAATTTTTTAAGAGCTCAGGTCATTTACACAAAAAATGCTGTACCTGCCTGGTACTTTGACATCATCAAATTTGTATTTTGCCAATTATTGATTGCATACCTGTTCTATGTGCCAGTGCAGGTGCCGTTTACATCTGTAGCAAATAGTCACTTCAAATACAATTCTTGAGCAAGTAAAAGTAAAACTTCTTATATTGTTCTTGTCAGTAATCCACTTCAGTGGATTCCTATTTCCTACCATTAGGGTTTCTAATTACATTTTGTGATTTAAGCATATTTATGTAAATAATTATGAGTCACACTGAAACTATCAGTCATGAATTGTGACAAGTTTCATATTTAAAGGGATAGTTCACCCAAAAATCTTTTAGTTCACCCAAGTCATTATTTACTCACCCTCAATTTGTTCCATACCTGTATGAATTTCTTTCTTCTCCTGAACACAAAAGAAGATATTTTGAAGAATGTCGGTAGCAGTTGATGTACCCCATTGACTTCCATAGTAGGAAAAAAAAAAATAGTGTTAAAAAATATTTTCTTTTGTTTTCAGCAGAAGAGAGAAATTCATACAGGTTTGAAACAACTTGAGGATGAGTAAATGATGACAGAATTTAAATTGGGGAGAACTATCCCTTTAATGATGCATTGGGTCATTTAGTAAAACTCATAATGGGATTTTTGTTACAGCAAATATTTACATTCTGTTCATATTTAAATTAACAGAATGTTAATTTAAATATTTAAATATTCTGTTAATATTTAAAAAACAGCAAATATTTACATTCTGTTAATATTTAAATTATAGTTAAAGTAGCTCAGTTTAAAGTGAAAATGAATAAATGTACTAATTTAATGGAAAAATATATATATATTGGCATTTTAGCCTTTTATTAGGATAGGATAAAAATACTAAATATTTTAATGCTATGTTTTAGAATAAATGTTTTATAACAGCTTTATTTGATGTTTTTGGGGTACGTTTACACTGATCTTTCCCCAGCACAAGTAATGTGTTGTAAAATCTTTAGCATGACGCATGCACCACTGAGAGTGTGACTCGTGATCACTAACCCAGTGGCTGTGTGTGTGTGGAAGATCTTGCCAACAGAAGAACTGCTTTGTGATTATAATCAGCTACTCTTCCATTGCGTAATTCCAGATGTCTATGGATCCAATTTAACCAGGAAATGTTTTGTCTTGTCTATGCGTGTGTGTGTGTGTGCAGTGGATCTCGTATCTTGCAGCCCGCTCAGGTGTGTGATGTTCTGAAGGGTTTTATCATGGTTCTGTGTTATTTCATGATGCATTATGTGGATTATTCCATGATGTACCACCTGATCCGGGGTCAGTCTGTCATAAAACTCTACATCATCTACAACATGCTAGAGGTACAGTATCACAACACTCATTTGTTACTAATATATTTACAGTAGTAGGTGAATTGACACACTGTGTTTCTCCTCTAGGTGGCAGATCGCTTGTTTTCGTCTTTCGGTCAGGATATTTTGGATGCTTTGTACTGGACTGCCACTGAACCAAAAGAAAGAAAGAGAGCTCATATAGGAGTCATCCCACATTTCTTCATGGCTGTTCTCTACGTCTGTATCCTTCACACCAGCTTTGTTTTAAATGTCACATAGTCATATTTGGATATAATGACAATTTTATAAAGATTTTAATAAATGCTCAAACTCTGCTGTTTAATATATAGTGTGTAATAGTAAAATTAATTGTAAAAATTAATACAAAAATACAGAACTAACAAGTTAGTAATTACAACTACAGTTTCAAGTTCTGTACGAAATATATTTGAAGTCCCCCTGTAAAAAAAATTCATATAGCTTGAATGTAACTCTACACCCTTGCCTCATTTAGTATACGTGATTCTATGAATATGCAAATTAGCCTCCACTCACTCACACCAGCTCAGTGATCGACTCGTTGATGATCACACCTTGACGTGATTGGTTACAAGGTAGTTTGTGACGTCATAAACACCAGCGATTTTAAACCCCGTCTTTGGTTCACTGCAGTTTTAAGGAGAAAATACTCAGCAATGGTGTTGACTTATGAATTTACACATGGTTTGTCTTAAAGCATATTAAAAACACCACATAGGGATATCCACAACATTAAAAGCTTGATTTTCACCACAGGGTGACTTTAACTACACTGAAACTGCTCTGTTGTATTTTTATGAATTTTTATGGTATAATGTAAATCAAGTTTTGTGTCACAGTTGTCATATTGCAATCTGTTATAAGTTTCCTTAATTAATAATGCAGTTCTACATGCCATTCTAATTATGGTTCAGGCCACCACACTGAACGTGGCTTTCAATTCACATAACAAGTCACTGCTCACCATCATGATGTCTAATAATGTGAGTGCGTGCACAGCTAGTTTGTTAAATTAAATACACTACAAATGACTTTAGTCTCTACATTTGTCTCTGTATATTACATTATACAGCAGCACATGCTTTCACACCTTCTTTTGTAGGTTTTATATTAATGTATGTTTTTCTTTATGTAGTTTGTTGAGATCAAAGGAAGTGTATTCAAGAAGTTTGAGAAAAACAACCTCTTCCAGATGTCCAATAGTGGTAGGTCCATGTAAATAAACTCTTCTCAAAATGTCACTCATGAATTGTCTCAGTGTTCCTATCTGTCTTTCTCATTACAGACATTAAAGAAAGATTTACAAACTACACACTCTTACTAATCGTCTGTCTCAGAAACATGGAGCAGTTCTCCTGGAATCCAGGTATCCAGTTATCAACTGACACATCCCAGAATTTGTGTATATTCAACATTGATGTGTGTATTAATCATTGATTATTGCTCATAGATCACCTATGGGTGTTGTTTCCTGATGTTTGTATGGTAATCGCCTCAGAGATTGCAGTGGACGTTGTCAAACATGCCTTCATCACCAAGTTTAATGACATCACAGCAGATGTGAGTTTAAATTATTGTTGCACTGTATACCAGGCTTAGGGCGTTTTCACACCTGAAAGTCCGCACCAAGGTCCGAACCAAAGTTCACGGTTTGATACATTTTATACTTTCAGAAAGTTTTGGTTTATTTTCACACTGCAATTATGCGAGCGCACTAAAGAACTTTACGTGACATACTTGCGTCCTGTCGTCATCATCTATGTGGGCTGCATCTTGACATTGATTGGTTTTGTAAGTGGACGTGCGTCTGACGTATGCGTGTTGTCAATTCGGCGGGTAACTTTGACAACATGAATGAACAGACACATATCGTTGCAATTATATTGTTATTTGTATGGCATAATTACCTGCAGCACCAACTATACACAAGGCTAGTTCAAATTCGCCAAATGAACGTCCTCGTCGTGCGAACATTTTATCGTCGCCGGCAGGAAAGGAGGAGAAGACTGCAAGTTGACTTCTTATGTTATCAGTCCATACTTCAATTAAAAACCTCGTCTCCTCCTCTCCCCATGTGCTACCACGGCTCATTTTTCCTGCCACCTTCGGCTATGCGGGAACCACCGTGACTTCCTGTAAAAGGTCTGAAAGTCCGAACCATACAGAAATGCTTTCACACTAGAAACGAATCAAACATTTGTTCAGTTTGATCCGGACCGAGACTACCTCTTTTCGTCTGACCAAATTTCATCTGTTTGGTCCGGACCGTGGTCCGGGGTAGGTTTCACACCTGTAATTTTGATTCGGACCAAACTGAAAAGTCGGAAAGTCCGGATCAAACAAGGTTGGTGTGAAAGGGCCCTAAAAATACTGGCAGCGCCAAAGTATTCCTTAGATGGTAATCATAAAATATATTATATGTTAGACATATTACAAATACATATATAAACATAAAAAAAACATATATTAATAAAATATGCTGATGTTCTTGTTATCCTGGCAAAAGATTAAAAGGTTAATTAATTTGGCATTAGTGAAATATAAAATTTTAATATTTCTTACCAAAATAACAAATATATAATCATCTTGTGTTGTATAGTTAATATTCAAATATAATAATAATAATAATAATAATTATGTAATTTTGTAATGTTAAATACAAATAAATAATATAATATTTAATAACTAACCCGAAAAGCAATACATACCACTTTCTGTCAGAGCTAAAAGATTTGCATTCGTACAACATGAGTAGGCCTAGTATCATCATACTAATTGATATCATGATACTTCTGCTGGTATCATGTTGTTGTGGTTGTGATTAAAGGGATCATTTTCAATTTTGCCTAAATTCTGCCGTTAAGATTTTGAGAATACAGTAGTTTACCGTAAATATGAAACACTATAGGTAGATTATATGAACATTGGATCATCTACAAATGAACTAGTCACTTGAAAACAGTAGGTCTTAGTGCAAAGAGAAGGTTTTTTTGAGCGTGACCTAACGCTACTGAAATGACAATACACTAAAACATGTATCCATGTATAACTTTTATCTAGAAGAAAATCAGAACATGAGAACTGTGACATGACCTAATTAAGTCAAAGGGTTTCCTTATGCACATATTCTAGACTGTTCCTTTTTGTCTAAAAAACAAAAACCTCTGTCTCAGTCAAGAAGAAGCCTTTACAAAGAGATACAGGTTTCCTTTGGGGGTGTGTCTGAAAATCAGCACCGCTCTCAGTGTCTTGGGTAACCCTGACAGATCCACTGACCCAAATCTATCAGCACACACAGAGCTCAGCGTCTGTCCAGTGTAGAGCCCCTCTGCTGTTGAGATACTCATCAAATGAAGGATCAGTGACACTACAAACTAAACTGTCCCTAAACAAGTGTCTGAAAGAGGAAAAATAGAAGGAACATATGAAGAAAATAGGGGTTAAGCAGTCAAAATACAATGTGGGGCGGGTGGGGGGGGGGGGGGGGGGGGGGGGTGGGGGTGATATGTAATGACAGAAAGAGGAGTGTAGTTACTGGCAGGGATTAGAGACAGATCTGCTTAGTTTAGGCAGGAAGATTAGTGTCACAGCACACACGTGCACACTTTTCTCTCTCCTGTACTGTATTTTTCCTAGAGGTGGACACTAGCCAAAAAAAACAAGTTGGGATAATTTCCAGTCGTTTTACCATATATTCAATATACATCTTAATGTTTATGTTTTTTTTATTAAATGGCTCAAATTGATTTTTTTTTTATCAGAACCAGCATTTCAGCCAAACTAAAGTTTTTGATCAAAAGTGACATTTACAATGTTACAAAAAAACTCTATTTTAAATAAATGCTGTTTTTTCTAATAAAACTAATTGTTTCACAATTTCCACAAAAATATTGAGCAGCACAACTGTTTTCAACATTTTTGATAATGAGAATTGTTTCTTGAGCACCAGATCAGCACATTAGATTGAAAATTCAGCTTATAAATAAATAACATTTTAAAACGTATTAAACGTGAATGAACCCTTTGGTTCTCGTATGTCAAGCAAGCATGCTTGAGCTTCCGTTTACCACAACTGATGTGTGTGTTGATGAATGTTTATACTAACATTGGTAAACTAACCCTTTAAAGAATCCTTCAAAAGACTCTTGAACTCCTGAGTTATTTGATGGAATCATTCTAATGTGACTTTTTAGTTTACTGATTTTATATTTGACTCAGTTACTGAATCGCAAATCATAATTCCTTGTAACTCTGTGTGTGTGTGCGCGCGCATGTTTGTGCAGGTCTACAGTGAATACAGAGCGAGCTTGGCCTTTGATCTGGTCAGCAGCAGACAGAAAAATGTAAGTGCATTTATCACATCAGAGACCCTTTTTAAGCAAGACTGTAATCTTCCGAACGTTTACCCAAGTGTATGTCAAATTATGTATCAAAGATGATCGATTATTTTAATTGAAAGGAATGACTTAATTTTTTTCAGTGGCTTGTCTCCTCCTGATCACATTGAAGGGCATTTCGTCCAGCTTTATTAATCAGATACTGAAATATGTGTGTTTTCCAGGCATACACAGACTACAGTGACAGTGTGTCCAGGAGGATGGGCTTCATTCCTCTTCCTCTTGCTTTACTGGTAACCTGCCTCGTCTTTATTTCATCACAATACCAAATCTATCACACAGTACAATGTAAAAGCAAGAACATAAATCCTTACAATGTTTGCATTCATTTACAATTTGTCATTTTGTTGCACAGCTCTTGTTAATATAACTTATTGTGTTGTTTTTATCACTTAAAGTGACTCTTGTAGACTGCACTGCATTCACTTACACAAGCTGTATTTGTCAATACTTTTAAAGCCATTAACAGGGAAGGTACTGTGATGTGTAGTAACTGTTATCAGTTATACTCATGTAGTATGTGATTGACAGTTGATCCGGGTGGTGACCAGTTCTGTGAAGATCCAGGGATCTCTGTCCATTGTATGTGTCGTGCTCTTCTACCTGGGGTATGAGTTCACATTATTTGTAACACTTCAAAATTAGTTTTTTTAATCAATTATATTTGAATAATTTATAATAATGTTTAATAATTACACTATAACAAGCTCACCTTTAAATAAAGTGTAAACTAATATTTCACAATATTACTGTATTTTTGATTAAATAAATGCAGGGTCACACTTTAGTTTAGGGTCCAATTCTCACTGTTAAAAAACTATTAACTGTGACTTTTGCCTCGATAAACTCCTAATTATTGCGTATTATGCTAATATTTAGTAAGGTAGTTAAGTGTAGGTATTGGATAGGATTAAGGGATGTAGAATATGATCATGCAGAATAAGGCAGGGTTAGGGTTAAGTACTAATAAACAGCCAATATCCTAGTAATATGCATGCTAATAAGCAACTAGATATAGCAATAGTGAAAATTGGACCCTAAAGGATTTTGTTTCTTTTCAAAAACTCGTACTGATCGATCGCACACTTTTGAACAGTAATGTATATAATCCAAATGTTGCATTGAGTCTGTGTGTTTCTGTGCGTTTATTCAGAATGATCACTCTGAAGGTGCTGAACAGTATATTGTTATTGGGGAAATCCTGTATGTATGTGAAAGAGGCAAATATGGAGGAGAAGCTGTTTCAAAATCCCCCCTCTGCAACTCCCAGCAGAGTTTCCAGCAGAGCAAACCGGACCAAACACACACGAGAACCACCAGGTAACACAAGAAACCTTGAAAACAGAGAGAAAATAGTTTGAAAGTCTTATAAAGGTTTTGTTCTCTCTGACTAATTGTGTCCACACCCCCTCTGAAGGTGAACCAGCGGAAGAGGCGTCTGCATCAGTCACCACTCAACCCACCCAAAGGGATGAATGCCCCGCCCCTCAGCTCCCCACCAGCGAATCAGATCAGTTCCTCACAACACCAGATGAATCAGAAGATAAAAGCCTTATTCAGGACGATACTGAGCTTATACACAGGGCGCCCAAAAAAGACTTGCTGGAGATTGACCGCTTTACTATCTGCGGTAACCGTATCGACTGACATCAACACGCACCCTCAAGTTTGATGCCAGTTATGCACTGAAAGGCCCGCCAGCTTGATTCGTTTGACATTTGAACTTGAGCTCGTTGGAATGGGACAGCGAGAAACTGCAGGATATTTATTAATAAATGATGCACCTAATTTATTTAAGACTTAAACAAACTCATTCACATCATAGCAACACACACACACACACACACACACACACACACACACACACACACACACACACACACACACACACAGTTTTACCCATTTGGAATCCACCCAGTGAAGTTTCAAAGCTTTCAAGAGGTTCACCAACACCTTTGGACGGCGGGGGAGATCTTGGTCCAATGGTCACTGTGCTCTCCTTTCATAGAGGATGCCCATGAAGAAAAAGAGAGAAAGGGATGGATTATATTCTAAAATTAGATTCCATTTGGTAGGATTAAAAAAACCATGAAAATTTGATCTGCAGTGCTCCAAAACAAATGACAAAACTGGGTATAAAACTTCTTGTTCAGTTCTCTTCTTCATCCATGATTTCTGTATTTGGAAGTGTCCCTTCAAATCTACAATCTTAATTTCCATCTAAAGACTTTTTAGTTTGACAAATCCCCATGGTCATTGGCAGTCAATACCGAAGTGTAGTTTTGTAATTGCAGATGTGTTATGCAGGTTTTCTTTGTGTCTTTGAGTGAAAGCAGGAAGCAGGCTAAAATACCTTTTCACATTTGTATTTATTTTTATTTTTAAGACCGTTCTTTGAGTTTGAAGACAGGGTTTCCAAAGACGAAAAAAAAAGTTTTACATCGTTTCAAGTAAGGACCATTTAAAGGGCCATTACGAGTATGTGATACTGTGCTAAAACGCATGTTTGTGATATGCCGATTGATTTACATCGTAGAATGAGTTTGCATCTGAATGAAAGGATCGTAGATTAATGCAAGATAGTCGCATGGAAACAAAACTGAGTAGCTGGGACTAGCATAATGTGATTTGCCAGCTAAAATGAAGGAATGTAATATTTTCAAATTTCGGGATGGAAAGTCTGTATCTTACTGTACCAAGAGCAGCAGATTTAATGAACATCATACATTGGTGCTGATTTTGGGAGCAGATGCTAAATAGTCAATTAACAACATTCCAAAAGTCAGAATCTTGACCAACGCAAAGTTAAATATTGAACCTTTTGCTAATATCTTGAGAGTATTTGGAAGAAAAAAAATGCCTCTGTTGGTCCCTAATGTATTTACATATCTATGAGCATCAGAAGCCAGTAATGTAAGCGAATAAGTCAAAGTTTCAATTTCTAAACCAGTGACAAGTGCCCATGATCAGAAACAATGCATGTATAGTGCTTAAAGGGATAGTTCACTTTGAAATAAATTTTTGGTATGTTTTAGCTTACCTCAAGGGCATCCAAGATGTAGGTGTCTTTGTTTCCGCAGTAGTTTCAATTTTGATATTTTTAGGTCAAACCGTTCTTGTCTGTCAGTCATATAATGCAGGTCTATGGTCACCACCTCAAAGAGCATGCACAGAGAAGTCCAAATTAAACATGATTTAATGACTCGTAAATGTAAGTACACATTGATGGCCTAAGACACGAAACGAGCAGTTTGTGTGAGAAAACGAATAGTATTTATATCGTTTTTACCTCTTGTAACCACAGCCACGTCCAAGTGATCTGAGGGCGCGGGCGCTTCGGTCTGCGCAAGCGGCGGAAGTGATCTCTCGCGCGTGTACGTCACTCATTGTTTACACAGAGATTTCGGAAGTGTTACCTTTCACTGTGAAGATCTAAACATATTTAGATATACAGGAAATCGCAATGGAAGACGATTTCGCTATATCAACAGACAACGCTGAGGTTTTTTTCCGCAACCGCGCGAGAGATCACTTCCGGCGCTTTCCGCCGCTTGCGCAGACCGGAGCGCCCGCGCCCTCAGATCACTTGGACGTGGCTGTGGTTACAAGAGGTAAAAACGATATAAATACTGTTCGTTTTCTCACACAAACTGCTCGTTTCGTGTCTTAGGCCATCAATGTGTACTTACATTTACGAGTCATTAAATCATGTTTAATTTGGACTTATCTGTGCATGCTCTTACATCTTGGATGCCCTTGAGGTAAGCTAAAACATACCAAAAATTAATTTCAAAGTGAACTACCCCTTTAAAGAACTTATTGGAGTGCATTATTATCACAGAGAATAATGTTTCTCATACATTTACTTTGCATAACAGACCACACTGTCTTAAAACATTTTTTTTTTTTCATGTTCTCTTTCATAATCATATCTCCTAGTAGTACTGGAGGTCAGAATTTAAGTTGACTTTTTTTTATTGAATTAGAAATTTGTATTACTTGTATTACAAATGTGTGGCTGTAATTGCTTTGCTTTGTAATATGGTGGCATTCAGTCTGACAATTCACACTCAAGTCAGCATGTCAACAGTCATCATATAAGTCTGTCATATTATGTTAGGTGCTCTGTTTCATTTAGGAAATGTATTAAGCTGAAAATATCAAATATGCCAAGGAATCATTTACTCTCCGTTATCGAACTAACGCAAACACTTTTCAAAACATTTTCAGAAGCATTCACTTGACTTTAACTGCCAAAATGATATCAAAGAGCATTTCTCTTTTCTTTTTTTTTACATTTGAAACACTGATGTTAGAAATACTTTTTCTTATTTTTTAAAAGAGAGACCACTATAAGCAACGTTTGGTTTTGTTGTGCTTTTCAATGTAATTACCTGTGCATTAACCCCATGGGTTAAATCACCTTTTGAAATAAGATTGAAGTTTGACTGGATCAGTAATCAAAAGGATGGTTTTGCTTGACTGAACCTTTGTAATACATACTCATATTCATTTATTTGGAAATACTGAAAAAGACAACCATCCAAGTTCTTTCCACACTGCTGGACTTCACTACTGTTTTCTCGCTGATCAATATCAGTTTGTTGTTTTATGTGTGTTTATGTACCCATATTGGCTTCAGCATAAGTTTCTTGCAAACTTGTGTTTCCTGTAGAAACTGAAAATAACGACGATGTCACATCCCCTGAATGGGATGTTTCAGAGACTGATTCGGGGGGAGAAATCAGGGCGTTGTGTTAATTAAAGTTTTGTTGTTTTCTACCTTTGTGGTTAGTCGTTTTTAAAAGTGTTTGTTTAGCATGGAGCCCTAATGGACACTTTCATAAGACACTGAAATAACACTGTAGACACTGTAACACTGATAAGGTTACAATGCTCATATATCTCATAATGTTTACATATACTGTATACATTTATATAATATATATATACACTATATTAGCCAAAAGTATTGGGACACCCCTCCAAATCATTGAATTCAGATGTTCCAATCACTTCCATGGCCACAGTTGTATAAAATCAAGCACCTAGGCATTGCAGAATGCTACAAACATTTGTGAAAGAATGGGTCACTCTCAGGAGCTCAGTGAATTCAAGCGTGGCACCGTGATAGGTTGCCACCTGTGCAAATAAGTCCATTTTGAGAAATTTCCTCGATACTAAATATTCCACGGCCAACTGTTAGTGGTATTATAACAAAATGGAAGCAATTGAACAACAGCAGCTCAGCCACGAAGTGGTAGGCCACGTAAAATCACAGAGCAGGGTCAGCGCATGCTGAGGCACACAGTGCGCAGAAGTCGCCAACTTTCTGCAGAGTCAATAGCTACAGACCTCCAAACTTCGTGTGGCTTTCAGATTAGCTCAAGAACAGTGTGTAGAGAGCTTCGTGGAATGGGTTTCCATGGCCGAGCAGCTGCATCCAAGCCTTACATGACCAAGTGCAATGCAAAGCGTCGGATGCAGTGGTGTAAAGCTCTCCGCCACTTGACTCTAGAGCAGTGGGGACGTGTTCTCTGGAGTGACGAATCACGCTTCTCTGTCTGGCAATCCGATGGACGAGTCTGGGTTTGGCGGTTGACAGGAGAACGGTACTTGCCTGACTGCATTGTGCCAAGTGTAAAGTTTGGTGTACGGAGGATTATGTTGTGGGGTTGTTCTTCTGCTGTTGGGCTTGGCCCCTTAGTTTCAGTGAAAGGAACTCTTAATGCTTCAGCATAACAAGACATTTTGGACAATTTCATGCTCCCAACTTTGTGGGAACAGTTTGGGGATGGCCCCTTCCTGTTCCAACATGACCACACACCAGTGCACAAACCAAGGTCCATAAAGACATGGATGAGCGAGTTTGGTGTGGAGGAACTTGACTGGCCTGACCTCAACCCAACAGAACACCTTTAAGACGAATTAGAGTGGAGACTTTGAGCCAGGCCTTCTCGTCCAACATCAGTGCCTGACCTCATAAATGCGCTTCTAGAAGAATGGTCAAAAATTCCCATAAACACACTCCTAAACCTTCTGGAAAGCCTTCCCAGAAGAGTTGAAGCTGTTATAGCTGCAAAGGGGGGGCCAACTCCATATTAAACCCTACGGATTAAGAATGGGATGTCATTAAAGTTCATGTGCATGTAAAGGCAGACGTCCCAAAACTGATGACAATATAGTATATGTATATATTTCTTTTTTTATGTAGAAATGTAATCCCTTGCATGCTCCACAAAAGCTAAATCACTCAAACTCAAAGGTACATACACTATTTTAATAGTGTCTATTTGCACAGCCACTCATACCAACAGACTGCTTTCTCATCAAAGCTTTAGTTATAAATCCACTGACACCTGGAGCTGTACAACCAACTTAATATTCACTCGAACACTTTTCACTGTATGTCTTCTAAGCAATGGCATTTTTAATACTATTGAATATTCTTCTTCTGTCAACTGAATATTCAAAGGTTAAATTTGTGCAGGAGCCATGATCCTAACAGCCACTAGATCTGTCCATCACATTCTGTCTTGAGTGGCGGCAAAAGCGAGAGGTGATAGTTGTCAAGGACTGGATTAAATCCAACCTATCCGACCCCAAGCCAAAAATAATCACCTAAAGATTATGTAACGCTAAACTGATCTGTGCTAAAACCATAGAGATCTGAACACTAAACCGATTGAGATTTTGTCTTGGAATGTGTGTAAAATTAGATCACAGAATAAATGAATGCCACTATGAGGTAAGTCTATTTAAAACTGGATTAGAAATCTCCAATACTTAGGCTGTACAAAATCTTAAAAAATACAGTGCATCGTTTTAAATATATTTTACATTTTGTATATCTTATATAACAATGTTTCTTCAGATATGTAAAAATCACTCTTATTTATTTATATTACATGTACACCTCTTCAGCACATTGCATTATCCCTTATGTTAATATTTTTTTCTTTCTCAACTTAACTGTTTTTATGCATTTTTATATTTTATTCTTTCATTTTTAATCATAAAATGATATTTGTATCCAGGTTTAAATTAGATTCTGACTTGTGGACAATAACATTTTGAGAGACTCGTCTCAGGGTATGATGCATAGGCCTATTAAATATTAAAATAAGTTGTTTTTTTTAAGTATCAAATTTGATAAGAGATATTGTTTAAAGGCAACAAAACAGTTGTATTTATGGATGAAGAATATGTCCTATTTACACTTGATCAAAGCTCTCTTTTCCTCTGTCATTTGTGTGTGTGTGTTGTGTCTGTGTGTGTGTGTGTAGGTTTAGTGTAAGGGGATAGAATAAACAGTTTGTACAGTATAAAAATCATTATGTTTATTGAATTAATGTCCCAATAAAACATGAAAACACAAAAACATGTGTTTGTGTCTGTCTGTCTTTCTCTCACTCTGTTCTGTTTGTTGGTATTCATGTCCATGCACACACAACCGCACAGAGGCTTTTCAGCTGTTTCAAATGTAGCAGTGGGACATTTCAGGGAAGAGGACCGTAAGCTAGTGTTTTGGCAGAGTCTGGAGTTGCTGCTTTTCAACTCATTTGACTTTCTGACTATATGTAAAGTGAGTAGGGCCATGCATTTATGTGAAATAAACGGCTCTGAGGATGTTATTAAAACAGTCATCGTAATGCTTTGACTGTAAAGCATGAAGAATCAGACTATAAAAAAATAGTCTGATAACCACAGTAGGTCTAACAAATTACAATTGTTCTCAGTCGCTTTGTTACTTTTCTCGAATTATCCTTAATATTTGCAAACCAGTAAGTTCATTTATTGAAACAATTCACACAAACAGAACCACACAATGGACTACCTTCAAAAGCCTGTAACTTGCTCAAAATCCTTAGCAGTTCATCTCTCAAAAGTAAGTATTCATATCAATGAACATATCAGTGCCATTAAGATGACAAGTTCTTGTGTCATTGTTCACAAACAAGATGACAAAAAAAGCCACACATTCAATAACAGTGTACTCTGTCAGTATTTTCAGATGTAAACCATGGCTAAGATTTTGATGAGAATGATTGAAAATGCACAAGAATGCACTTTTTCTAAAGGGCATATATCAATTTTAACGGCACAAATTGACACATTACTGTAAATGGGATATTGATTGCAAGAGACTGAAAAGGATTCACAGTTACACTGTGGTCTGTCAACAAATAAGTACAATGTTCTTGTGATATAAAGTAGCCTATGTATAGGCCTTATATGGGCTATGTGTGTTTGTGTGGTATAATAGCCTGTATAAAGTGTATAAACTATAGGCTACTGTAAAATGCAAGTATAATATACTAAGTGTAAAAGCATTACAGTGCATGCTGAAATGAATGAATGAATGAATGAATGGTTTTGTGATCTTCTGTTATTTTTAACCCTCTGTGCCATATGGTTCATTTATTGACAGTAGGCTATTGTCTGTAAAGTTGTTGGGCCGTTTTTTGAGAGAAGACACTGTAGTTGCTACAAACTACTTTGACTTTGCTTGACTCACCTAGACATGGTTTCCCTCTAAAGCCATCTCCAGTGCGCGTGCACAGAGACTCCGCCGGCCATCAGACAGAAGTGGAGCGCGCAGCGGGAGGCGCAGGTCAGACAAACACTCAGCTCATCCTGAGCTATCTAGACTGCAGGGATTTTTTACCATGATGCCATCAGAAGGAAATGGGCAATAAACGCAAAAGTTGGAATATTTTTTTTCATTATTGACTTTCTTTTTCTTTTTTATGTGTCCCGGGCTATTTTCTTCTCTAATTTTTATTTTTAATGTCGAGGAATAGAGAACATTCCAAACAAATATACTTTTCTCACACTTAATCGGTCCTCCCCTCCCGTTATTAATCAAAATCATCCCGCGTAAAGGACTGATGGACATGTGGTGGAAAGTAGGGCTCGTGCTGGTGATGTGCTGGGGTCTCACGAGCAGTGAAGCCCGGGAGGAGCACTATGATTCGTCTCCGCGCACCGCGATGTTCAGAGCGCCATTGGACTTTGGCTTCGTCCCGTCGGTGGTGTACGAAACCCACGCGTATTATGAACCGGGTCCCATCGGTGTTCTTTTCCACATGGTCCACGCGTTTCTGTACGTGGTTCAACCCAACCCTTTCCCCAAAGGTGAGATGCACATCAGCTCTGAGAACGCGCAAAAGTTTTCTACATTGTTGTGCATGTATCAGATTCACAGGGCAAACTTCCACATACTGTATACTTACAAAGTGTTATAGACTTTAGAAAGATTAATATAGCAAATGACTGCTTTGTCAGTATCAGATGGAAGTCTTAGGCATCATATGGCAAGCCGTTTAACACTTATTCCTTAAACCAAACTATATCTTTGGTAACATTTTATTTTAAGTCCTTGTTAAAGTAATTACACAAGCAAGTACTGAGTAATGTTAAGTACTTACTATTGGGTTAGTTTGGTTTAGGGTTGGTTGCTTGTAATTATGCATAATTTACTGTAGTTACTACAGTAAGTAGGGTAGGCCTACAACAGGGCTAAAGGCACACCTTAAGAAAAATGTGCTTTTCGCTATTCCCATATGATTGCAGATTTTTTTTTTTTAAATTGATGTAGCAACATATTTTGTGTGAAAATAAATCATAAAATTGGTTTGTTTGTTTAAAAATCTTATAAATGTATGAGGTGGCAAGGTGGGCCTTGCATTCACGTCATGTCGTAATTATGGCAATTACATGATTTCAACTTGTAAAAAAACGTTCATATCCTCTTAAAGGGTCACTTCACCCATTTGCATTAAGGTTTGTATTGTTAGAAACCCAGTCATATATTATAATGATGGTGGAATTTTGCTTGTTTTTTTTCTGAGATGGGAGAAAAAAGGATTTAAGTGTTTTACTTCCGTCCTATCGTGACGTTAATATCGTCATTTTGCGTCACGATAGGACGGAAGATAAATTTCATTGCATATTAAGAAAACTACAGCCTTTAGCTCATTATTATTCAAGGGCGTGGGACCCACTCACCCCACCGGCCTATTACAGATCAGTGGGTGGGACTAAACCTGAAGAAACTAAACTATTAATCCGCCATCTTGCTTGGAAGACAGCAAGCTAAGCTAACAAGCGCTCAAGGAGTTAGATTTACCATAATGCCTGAATTTACGACACACGATATGGAAGACGAGGATTTTGAAAATCTTTTGCTCGAAACTGATGTTCGTGGCTATTTATACGAGCCACAATATAGCGAAGAGCAGCTGAGGCTGATGGAGGAACAAGAGGCGTCGGCGTCGGCTGCGTCGGGTTCGTTGTTGTGGGAAGAATGAGACGGGAATCGGCGAACATTTAAACATTTTAATAGTAAAATAAACAAATACAAAACAAAAGTATAAGCCAGCAGCCCCGCACTGCTGGCCACACACAACAGAAACAAAACACACCATAAAATCAGGCCTGTTCCTCTCTCGATCTGCCCTGTCGCTCCTCGTTTTATGCGTCCGCTCCTCGGTGAGAGACGCGAGAGAGACCAGTGCGTCTCACAGGTGTCGTTCATTATCACTCACGCCACCGGCCTCGCGCCGCTCTCACGTCCCTCGTCCTCGTCCTGCTCGCCACAGCCAACTAACTATACATTTTGTGTGAAATGAATTTCTAACTCTGTTGGCAGCTAACGTTAGCCCTGTAGAGTAGACGGAAGAGTGATTTCTCTGATGTTTGCGACTTTGCGCTGTTCTGGATTAGTGGGAGTGGCTTGCGGAGCTGTGCAACGTGGTGCATTCTGGGAGTTGTGGTCTTACACACAAATGCGCCCTAAAGTTATTTTCTGTCTTTTCTCGGTCAAGAGGGCACCAAATTCAAAATTTCTTTTACATTTCGACTACATATATGACCCACTTTCAATAAAGATTAATGTTGAAATGGGTGAAGTGCTCCTTTAAGAGTCCGTAATAACAGCTTGCAAGATGAGAATTGTTTGAGAGATCCTTCTAGACTGCTGCGGATTCATTTAGGCGTTGATAGTGGTGCCACAGAAAGTCATTATTAAATTCACAGCTCTGAATATAACATCACGTGTTGTCATCTGTCTGTCTGAACCAAAGAAATAAAAGCGAACTATCTGTACCATATTGAATTGCATAGCGTCATTTTTTTTTTTCATTGCATCGTATTGCATTGAATCGCATTGTTGAATCGAATCGAAATCGGATCACACTGCATCGTGATGCCGCCTTTCCACTGCACACGACAAACGACAGCCGTTGGACCGGAAGTCATTTATTTCCAATGGAGAATAGTTCGGGAGCTGCGTGGAGTTCCAATCATATGCTAATGTGGAAAATTTTGGATCCGATTTGAGCTTCGGATGTGTTGAAATTTTTTAACTTCTGTGGCTTGACCGTATGCGACCGGCCGACCGGATGTGATGCATTCTAATCAAAACTATGAGCGCTAAATTAGAATTACCAATATTTTAACACTTTAACTTTATTCTGTAAACACTATTTTTATAAAATGGAGGTTATTATTTGATTATGGCAGAAATAATTATTTTATATTAAATCAATATTTATGTTGATTAGCTCTATAAAATCTACTATGTTTTTATTTTAGATGTATTGAGGGTAATTTGTTTTGTGTGGAATGTGGATATATTCATACATGCATTTCTTTCATTAAAATTATTCAATTTACCATGGTGAATAAGCCAAGGTAATGGTTGCTTCACGACCAATTTCAAAGTTCCGTGCGACTGCTGCTAGGGGGCGAAATGCGACGATTGTATGCGAATGTCCTGTGCAGTGGAAAGGCGGATTAACAGGGGTAAATCGTATATCATTGCATTAGTAGCTGCTTCTTATGTATCTTTAATGTATCATATCGTTGGCTATGCATCGAGATGCGTATGGCATCGGCCTTAGTTATGGAGATGCACATCCCTAGTACCTTTAGCTCCAATAGCAGGGGCACCTCAGAATCAACTTTGTGTTGCTGTCCACGATCGCAAAGATCAGCCAAATTCCCATGTGGATCATCAAATGTGGTTGTTAAAGGGGTGGTATAATGCCCTTTTCAAAAGATGTAAAATAAGTCTCTATCTCTGATGAGTGTGTATATGAAGTTTTAGCTCAAAATACCCCACAGATATTTTTATATAGCATGTTAAAATTGTAACTTTTTGAGTGTTAAAATGTATTTTATGTACATTTATGTACGGGATTTATGTATATTTTTGGGTTAGTGATGTCACTAACCCGGGAGGAATGTCCTGTAGTCCCTACCAGATGTTTGTTGTAGTCCTCAAAAAGCAATTTCTTTCAAATAAAATATCTCCCTTTGCTTTGAACTTTGAGCATTGTAACTTTGCAGATGTTGTTTATGCTCAAACAGCAACATTACACACTAACTAAAGTTAGAAAAGGGAAATCATAATAAACCACCCCTTTAAAGGGATACTCCACTGTTTTTTCATATTAAACTATGTTATTCCCTTAACTAAGACGAGTTGATACATACCTCTCTCGTCTGGCGAGCGAGACACTTTCATAGCACTTAACTAGCCCAGTTCAGTCGAAGTGCTCCCAAGCACTTGCTGTGGTATTCCACCATACAATATAGTTATCCATTTTACACGCTTAGAAAAGCGCAACGTTTTATTTTGTGTCACTGTCCTAGGTCGAGTTACACTGCTCGAGTAACTGTATTTAAATAGGGAAAACGTGGAGGTGTTTGGTCGCTTCTCTGCTTGGCCCATATTGAATGAACTGGGCTAGTTAAGTGCTATCAAAGTGTCTCGCGCGCCAGAGCGATTGAGTGCACGCACTGAGACGACAGAGGTATGTATCAACTCGTCTTAGTTAAGTGAATAACATAGTTTGATATGAAAAAACGGTGGAGTATCCCTTTAAGAAAAGTGCTGAATTTTTGTGCCGTCTAGTGGTTTAAAAGAGAATAAAGTCAAACGCTACTTATATCCCGCCTTTAGCCCCGTTGTACCCTATATGTGTAACAAGGACACTGCAACGTAGTGTTATAGTTTTGCCAATTTAGTTTTACTTGCTAGAAATCTAATAGTGGCTAGTATGTTTTTAAATTCACTTGCTTTTCATTAGATACCAGAAAGCCTACTTATTCCAGCAGTGATTATGTATTCAATTAGTCACTAGTAGCCTACTTAATTCCTTGCTAAGTAATCATTATCCCAGCAGTATTATTCCATTGTTCCTGGTAACAACTGACTAATAACTGACTATTATTTCTTATTTAATATTAGCGTATTTGTAGATTAGATATGAGACATTAGTATCTGCCCCAGTTGTTACCTGGCTGTAACATATTTTAACAGTGACTAATTGAATAGATGTTGATTGCTATTGGAATAAGTACTAGTATGTATCTAATTAATGGTATGACCACAAATACTCATGATCAAGCATGACATTATTATTTAATTCAAAATTCAGTATCAATGTTTTTTTTTTCACTTTGTGATTAGTTACAGTGTAATTCTGAGCAGCACCTTGGAGCCCTATTCATCAGATAGTATTTAAACTGCAAATGATGAGGATTAGTCAAGGGAAATAGTTCTCAACACGTTGAAGAGCTGTACACATACACATGTAGCATGTTCTTCCTGAATGGGCCAGAACACAGAGTCTTTAGACAGGGTCTTTAACTATTTTTAACCCGATAGACAATGGTTTGTGGTGAATTCGGTCATGCCAGTCCCAGTTAAGATAATTACAGTAATCTGTAGGAAGAGCAAAGAGACTTGCAGTGAGAAAACATGATGCCTTATGTTTTGATTTTGCCAGGGCAATAAAAATTATTAATATGCAATAACAGGGAGGTGAAATTGTCTGATTTACACAGACACATAGTTTTAGATGATCCGCACTACTAACATAAAAACCGATAGAAGTGAGTTTTAAGGAATAAATGTTAAAACAGCTTGCCATAAATATATTTATTGAAATAACCTGTTATAATTTTTCCTGTTATGCCTGGATGCGCTCAGTGATCTGCTCATGAATCATCATCATCATCATCATCATCCTTTTGCTATCTGAACCTGCAGAACCTATGGATATATTGGTTTGGATATGATAAGATTGCGCTGGTTTGTTACTGTACTGTTAGTACGTTGGAGAAAG